TTATTCATTTATTTATTTATTTGTTTTAAATCACAGAATAGTGTCCCTCACAGAGTAACTGGCTGTAATTTCATCTGGATATTTGTAAGAGGCCTCCTATCAAATTCTACTAAACCTTTGCTGACCCTTTCCATTTTACTGAGTTTCTAAGAATCCCCCTGTATTGTCCTAGCCCACAAAATTTTACATCGGTTATAATTATATCTGCACATCTAAGACATCGTATTTTAACAGAGCCATTTTAAACAATCAGAAGAAATAAAAGGTCTTTAAAGTTGCTTTATAATAATAAAGCAAGCAAGAAAGAAAAAAAATCTATAATTTAAACAATTGTTCTTGATAATCTGCATTAGTCTGGTAACAAAAACAGAAAAGCAGGTAATAAAGGTAGTCTTACAGACATAATTTAACTACTGGGAAATTAACAATACAAGTGCAGTAGTTAAAAGACTGAAGGGACAGAAGTTTATCACAGGCATGGGTTGATGCCACTCGTTTTCCACTTTGTCTGCACAATAGAATGCTATACCGTCTATATTAAGCACTACAAATACAGCCATAAACAAAACAAAATAACCCCAGGACCTCAGTGCTGTGGTTATAGTCTTTGAAAATTGGATAGATTTTTTTTCCAAACACACATTGAATACCCAGTGTAGAATTCATATTGATCTTCCATAGTTGATCTTGCCTTGCTAATATGAATCTCTGCTCAAAAAGCAAGAACCTTGGAAAAATAATATTTGATGAGGAAAATATTCTCTATCCCACAATGTATGGATATAAACCTTCCTTACTCCCCCCAAATGCCATCTGAAGAAATGGTTGTAATTTCATCATCAAAGAGTGAAAGCAGGGTAGCAGCGGTGGAATATGGCAACATATGGCTCTCTGCTAAAGAGGAATGAGAACTTAGGTTTTGCAAAGGTGAAGCCTTTCAGGACACTCCGACATCTCTTGGTTTTGGTGGTTGTGGGTTAGGGTTTGTTTGTTTTTTCATTTTCCTGTGGCAATATATTTGAATTTTTGAACTTTACATTAATTCTGTCTTAATGGTATAGTAAAAATCACCAAAGGCTGTTGATGCTTAGCACCTATAAAAATCAGGTCACTTTTAGTTAGGTGCCTGAACTCGATAGGAAATATTTCAGCGTGTGTCTTTCATAGGTACTAGATAGCAAAGAAATCTTACTTTAAAAAGGAGGTGGGCTTCATGCATCACCAGGTCTACCTCTGGTTCTTCTGTGGACCTTTTTACTTCCCATGAAGTAGTACCATTTCCAGTCAACTTCATACACCAGAAGAGATCTTTATGAACATCCAGTCTGACCTCCTGCACATCACAGACCACAGAACCTTACCCACCCACTCTCATAATAGGCCTAGCAACTCTGGCTAAGTTAATGAAGTCCTCAAATCTTGATGTAAAGACTTCAAGTTACATAGAATCCACCATTTACTCAAAATCAAGCAGCAAGTGTCCCATGCTCCATGCAGAAGAGGACAGCAAGAAAACACTTGAGTCTCAGCCAGCCAATGTCGCTTGGGGGGAAATTCCTGACCTGAAATATAGTAATCAGTAAAATCCTGAGCATCTGCACAAGACTCACCAGCCAGACAACCAGGAAAGAATTCACTGTAGTGTCTCAGGGTCCTTCCCATTTAATATCCCATCTCTAGCTGTTGGAGATATTTGCTAAAAGCAGTCACAGCTGGGACATATATCATTATAGGCAACTTCATCATACCATCCCAATCAATATATTTATTAAGCCAAGTCTTGAAACAAGTTAAATTATTTTTCTCCGCTACTTCCCTTGAAAGGCTATTGCAGAACATCACTTTTCTGATAGTTAGGAACCTTTATCTAATTGCAAGACTAAACTTGTTGATGGCCTATGTTATATAATATTCATGTATATAAATTTATATTCATTTGTTCTTATGCCAGTCTTGGCCCTTAGTTTAAATAACTCTTAATCCATTTTGTACATGCCCATCAACAAAAGATCTAGCATCTATTCCAGGTTCTGTTACTAATCTGCTCTGTGGAGCTAAGCAAGGTACTTAGGTTTGAAATACAATACGGGTGTATAAAACAAAAGAGAAGTCAAGCAAAGTGAATATCATTGTGCTTGGATGGGAAGGGTTAGTATTGCTATCGGGGGGTATGTCTACACTACAAAGTTAATTCGAACTAACAGCCGTTAGTTCAAATTAACTGTCATAGGCGCTACACAGGCAAACCGCTAGTTTGAACTTAATTCGAACTAGCGGAGTGCTTAATTCGAACTAGGTAAACCTCATTCTACGAGGACTAACGCCTACTTCGAATTAAGTAGTTCGAATTAAGGGCTGTGTAGCCACTTCCTTCGAACTAGTGGGAGGCTAGCCCTCCCCAGCTTGCCCTGGTGGCCACTCTGGGAACCACCAGAGAAACTTGTCTGCCCCTCTCCCGGCCCAGGAGCCCTTACAGGGGCACGGTCTGGCTACAGTGCCCGTGCCAGGTGCAAGCCTGCCAGCACCCAGCCAGCA